GTCAGAAGTCCCACGTACATGAAATGATATTGACAGGTAGGGACAAAATTCTGATTTTTTTTTTTTTACTAGATCAACTATTCACTCTTGAAAAGAGGAAACCTTTGTGCAGAGAAGCACTTTGCAATTATGTTCTTTGCTTATACTTACTGAAAGCGACAGATTAAGATAAACGTATTCGATACCAGAGGCTGAGCGCCCCAGCTTGTGGAGTCCCTCGGCCACAGTGTCTTCATCCAACACTCCATCAGGCTGACCCTATAAAATAGCAGAAAGGAGGGGGGTCAGGGAGAGGAATGGATTAAGGCAAGATTTATGAAATGAAATTCCACACTTGGTAGAATCCGGGGGCTGCTTGGGATACAACTGGGAACAGAGGTTAACAAAAGTCCTCAATCAAACGCTGCTTTCAGTGCTCCATTACCCTACTAAGGCACTACATGTTAGGAAAAATGATAAAACAGATAAATAGAAACATGTCGCATGCTAGCTCTGTACATTTTAAAAGGTTCAACAGTTTGGTTTTTTTTTTGGTTTTTTTGGTTTTTTTGGTTTTTTTTTTACCTTATGGTTTAAATGCACAGCTCTAAACAGGACCTATTTCCAGAGATGTTGAGCCATGAAACTCACATTGATTATGGATGTTAACCTCTTAGCAAACCAGCACTAACATAGCCCCAGCACCTACCCCAATATGTGTATTATTGGAGGCCCTTTAAATTTGTTCAGCATGAGCAGCTAGCGCCACTCTTCAGAGAGCAATCTTTGCCAAAGAGGGCACTTGACAGATGGCATTAATGAACCACTGCACAGTTTTAATGAGAAAATAAGCCAATGGCTTGTGAAATTCCTATGAGCCTGGAGAAGCCACACAACAATTCCTAATCTAGGGACGAAGGCAAATAAAGTTTCAAATAGTAATCATCTAAATTATAGCACCTACACGCTACAGCAATGGAGACTACAGATGCATTTCCACCAGGTAAAAAAATGAGGTGATAAGGCTGTGGCAGTGCACACTTTAGAGCCCAGCAGAGCAGGGAGAAAAAATTCCCTTGGTTCCAGGGGCTTATTCAATCTCAGAGCTGGGCTTATAAATAGGAAAGGGGCTTAATTTGGCCATCCATATGTCAGTTTATCCTTAGTCTTTATATAGCAAGGAGAGAGAGGGGCAATCCAGAAGTATCCTGACACTACAAGGATGGAAGGGGATTTAAAAAAAAAAAAAAAAGCAGAAATAAGGGGTGAGGGGAAACAGACCAAATCCAGCCTTTCTGCTCTTTGGGGAAATGAGAAATCACCGCCTGGTGCCCCCATCCCCCTTCTTTCCCCTACAACTAGGGAAAAGGCTCTTCCCTCATGGGCACACCCCTTCCCAAATTGCTGGGGGCCACTGAGCTGAACCTTTCTGCGCTGTGACTCCTCTTCCTCTTCGTCATCCTCCTCTTCCTCGTCCTCTCGGTGAGGCAGGTTGAGCTGTGGCTGCTGCAGGCTGGGCCCGTCCTGAGGCAGCTCCCCAGGGATCCCCTGGGAGAGGCGCTCCAGGGGCCCAGAAGAAGGAGGAAGCCGCTCTCCGGGGCTACCTTCTCCCCCCTTATCCTCTCCCCCTTCCATGACCTGTAACAAGTAGCGATGAAGGGCAGGAAACCGCGCTATTGATGTTTCGCACTCGCCCACCTCCCCATCACTCCTCAGGGCAGCCCGCCGCCATCTTGTTTACTCTCCCGTTGCCGTGGAGACGGGAGGAGCGCCGCTCCCGCTCCCCGTAAGGGGATTCCCGCCAAACAGCCAGTCAGCCAATAGAAACGCGGAGAGCGGAGCGGTGCAGGATGGGAGTTGTAGTTCTACGCGCCGGGCTGGCCGGCGGGCCGCAGAGCATGCTGGGAGTTGTAGTCCGCCTCACAGGCGATCCCCTCAGCTGGTTATGGGGCTGAAGGCACCTCCTTCCCCCTCAAACAGTCCCTCTCCTTTTCTCTTGTTCCCCACTCTTCCACAGCAGGGGGAGGAGTGTGCTCACCTCCGTTACTGTGTTCTAGATCAAAGTCAATACTGTCAGGCAAAAAATTTTGAGGGCACCATTATCCAGGCCTAAAGGAGCTCCGTGCAAGATGGCGGCTTTGCTCAGCAGCACCGTGACACAAAAAAAGGGCCGTGCAGAGGGTCTGCAGCCCTGACTTCTAGCCACAGGCCAGGGCGGGTTAGCCTAGTTTTTCTCTAGGAACACTGGTGGCATCAGCTTTTGAAACATCTTTGCTTATTGTCCTGGTTTTTTCCATGGTTGGGCTCATGGACCCATCTCGGGGTGCAGCACACCCATGGGTGATGGCTGCTGGAGCGGGTGCTGCGAACTCTCCAGGATGATGGCTTGTTTTAACCCTGCAAGGCACTGCTGCACAATGTTAAAATTCCTGATTTGTTATCATTCCTCTTTGAGGAAATAGAGAGCTCATCGCACCATGTTTCAGCCAAAGAAATAAAAATCCCCAGTTGTAGACAACAAGCAGCTTTGGGCCACAAAAAAATGTCTTACAGATACCAATCCAGTCTTAATATAAATCTTACGTAAAGGTGCTAAAGATAATTGAGTTTTCTGCAAGCGTATTTTGTGATTAGTTGAGTTGTGCACTGTAACCTCGTGGCTCCAGTCATGCCCTGTGGCAGTGAGTTCCACAAGTTCATTAGTGCAGAGTAAAAAAAGAAAAAGTTATTTGTTTTCTCTCATTTTAATCCTCTCCGGTTCCCACTCCATCATCTACCTTTCTTCTTACACTGCAGAACAGGGTAAAATGGGAAAATAAAGCCAGAAAATAAAGGAGGGGAGGAAGAGAAGATGTGGCAGGACGTCTCAAATACAAGTCCCTGCAAGATAAACATGGGGAGAGCACTGCTCCGCATGGTAAAACAACTTAACGTTGGGGACGGGGGATTCCTGGTTATTGCAGTGGGTCTCCAACATGGGTCATGTCAGCCAGGTGAGCCTTGAGAGTCTTGTAATTCCGGGTTTCAATATCACATAATTGCCTTTGTGTTCGTAAAATGGCACCCATCTTTGGCTGCAATAGCTATTCTTTAAAAAAAATTAAAAAAAAAAGAAGAGGAAGATATAAAAACTCCTTATGGACATTATCCACTGACTTTTATCTTTGTGCTTCAGGGAAACATTATGATAACTGCAATAAAGCTACCCAAATTACCTTCCTTCATTATCTCTCTGGCCATAAATGTTAAAACCCTTAATGAGATTTACTCCTTTTCCACGAAGCACCCCGTGCCTCCTCCCACAGCCCTCTGGGCAGAGGCTGCCCTGCAAAGGCTCTTCTCCAGATGGTGTGTGCCCAGGACTGTGTTGAGAGCTGGGCAGCAAAGGCAAAGGCTGGAGAGCTCAGGAAAGGATAGAAAACCCCGAAAGGGAAGGAAGGACCCTATCTGGGAGTATGTTTTGGGAGGCTTTTGGATATGTTGTGACCTAAGAGAACAACTTCTGAATCGCCAGAGCTACAAAGCCAAGCAGGGTCTGCTTGAGGACAGCAGCTGCTTGCTTCCTATTGTATTTCTACTTGCATTCCTATTCCTGATGTAGCTGTTTCAGACTTTCACGATCTCTAGGATAGTCTCTTTCTCAAAACTATACCATTTTATAGTCTACATCTTCAGATTTCACCTCCCGCAAATAGGGAAAGTCACTTTTTGATGTGAACCCTGCACTCCCCGACTGCAGGATTATCAGCACCTGCTTCCTTCCTGCGCTCGGACTCGCTGTGACCACAGGACGTGGCTGTCAACCACCACGTGCCCTCCTGGCAGCTCAATGCCACCGGCTGCTTCATGGAGCCTTACACTGCACAAACCTCTTGGGAACAGCTTCTGCTGTGTAAAACACCGCTGCAATGAAACAGGACAGTTCTATTGCCTCTTTCAACTGATGTGGGGCTTTTCTTACTGTGCCTCCCACGTTTTGTTGGCAGTTGGGTCACACCCACAGGAGATGGGACCCTTCTTACCTGAGTTGCAGAAACATCTATCTTTAACTGGGGCTTGTTCAAAGGACTGTTAAAGGGCATCAAGTTATCTGCAATCTGGGCAAGATTTGTGCTATGGAAAAGCTGAGGCATTTTAGAGAGGGTAAAAAAAAAAAAACAAAACCTGCAGAAAACCTTTTATTTTAGATCACAATTTTGACTGAGTCTGCGACCACACAAGGAGAAGCACCCTGCCTGTCGAGCCAGGTTGCTACTGCAGCCAGAAACACATTATTACTTAATAATACTTAAATCCTTTTTGCATGTACATATATATATATATTTTTTTTTTTTTTTTGGTCCAGTGCTCTGCCTTTGCAACCTGGAAGCCAGCCAAATGCCTGACTATTCCCAGGACTCCGCATGGGCAGGTTAGCATCAAACAAGTGGGGAGCAGATGGGTGGCGCGAAGGCAGCTGAGATGCTCGGATTAGTGTGCAGTATGTTTACAGGAAGATGCTTGCCCGAGTTCTAATCTCTCCCAGAGGCAAAGGCCACACATAATCAAATTAATAGCTAGCTGGGCAGCTTCTCTGTGTAAGATGGGGCTGAAGATTTCATGGGAACAGATGACAGAAAAAGGGCAGGTCCAAATACAGCTTACATGGACTGCCATCGAGCTTGGAGCAGAGCCAGCAGGGCTAATGAGTTCTCAGCAAGGAAGTGTCCCAGAGTTTATTTCCTACCATCTGGAAAATGCCTGCGCTTCCACTGGGATTTGTGATGATTCAAGCAGGAGAAGGGAATTATTAAAAACTCAGAAACACACTTGTCCTCCCTCCCTGTCTCCCCCCCCGCCCACCGCATCTGTTTGGATTGGCAGTGCAGGGATCCGCTGGCTGCTCACGTGCTCCGAGATGAAATTGGTCATTTAAGACCCCCCTCCACGGGGGATGGCAACTGGAGTGAAAATAGCCTTATGTAGTTTGGGTTGGAGACAGATTGTTTCTGAATGGGGCCATCAAAAAAAAAAAAAAAGAAGTAGACTTGGGGAAACAAAATGCCAAGGTGGTAATGGTAATTTCGGTGGACACAGAAAATAATTGGGGTGGTGGGAAATGTCACCCAGATTTCCTCCTTCCAATGCCCCATCCCCAGTCCAGCACAGCACATCCAGCCAGGGGATTACCCTGGATGCGTTCTCCTTCCTTAGCAGAAAGGATGAAGATTGAGCTTTTTCCTCCATAAATCACATAGTGCACATTACATTCTGAAAGCTAAGCATGGCCATCACAACGGGCCAACAACTGTCTGTCCCTCTTCCTCCAGGAGCCATGCTGGTTTTTCACAGAATCACAGAATGGTTTGGGTTGGAAGGGACCTTAAAGATCATCGAGTTCCAACCCCCTACCATGGCCAGGGACACCTCCCACTAGACCAAGTGGCTCAAAGCCATCATAACATGGTCCTAGCAGCAGGAGCCTTTACTCACCTGAGTAGTCACGCTGGCCACAATGGGACAATGTACCAACTGCCTCGTGGCCAGTGGATCTATAGAGAGGAGGGAGCACCTGCCCACAGAGCTGCAGAAGATCTTCCAGATTCCATATCCCCATCTGTCTCTGTAGTTGACCAGCCATTTGGAAGGAGTCCCCTCCAGTCCCACGTTGCCATCTCTGTGCCCCAACTGCTTTTACTCAACCTTTCCCTCCTCCATGTCCTCCACATGGCAGGGGTGACCCCTCTGTGGGAGCTGGTGGCTGTGTGCCCACATTTGTCTCGGTGTCCCCTCATCCAACCTTTCTGTGTTCAGTTAAGACTCTCTTGATCTGGGAGAGGAGGGGAGAGAATGGTGTATGGGGTTGTTCCTGGTTGCCCTGAGCTTTTGGGGCAATCTGCTCACGTTTAAAGAATCATTAAAACCACAGGAGCTGTTCAAAGAGTGTCCTTCTTCTGTAATCAGCTGGGAAAGAGCTAATCATGCAGATGAGGGACTTTTACAGTTCCCCTAAATGCCTGGGCTTTCCTTCTGAGTGATTAATGAGCAACAGCTCAGTATGCAGCTCAGTTTTTCACAGCCTCATCTGATATGTTCTGCTTTTTGTGTGAGAAGGGGGATTTCTGGATGCACCAAGAAGAGATAAATCTTCTAGGCCAGCGTTTGATCAGGGGAAGGAGACTTGCTGTCTGGTAGCCAAGAGGGTAAGAGAAAGGGCAACCCACATCATGGCCAGTCTAGCCCAGTGAAGTGCAGTGGATTGAAGTAGATTCAGCCCCCAAAATGTGTCTCCAAGAGCCCTCACTGCACTCAGCTTCTCAACCTGAAAGCTCAAAGAAGGGGATGGAGTAGTTCAGGCAGGTGAGAAGTGGGTCCAGCTGTGCTAAGGAAGGAAAACTCATTAATCTCTTGTTCTTTCATTGCTGAATGGGCTGATGTTGCACAGAGGGTGAGAAATGTTCCCCCAGACATTCAGTCTCGTGTCATATTTCAAACGGTGCTTGGCTGTGGTGTGAAAAGTTCCCAAATTCTCCTAACTCTGGAACAGCAAACACTGAACTGAGCGTTAAAAAAAACCCCAAACCAGAACTGAAGCTCTAAATCAGCAGTTATTATCCCAATAAAACCTCCCCACTATTGACAGAGGGACCATTTCA